AAACATATACCTGCTATAAGTATTAATAAAAAGCTCAGACCAAAGAGGTCACCTTAATACTGAAAAAAAAAAAAAAAATAACTGGGGATATATTACTCAGAACAGAAAGTGCAAAGCTATGTAAATCTTGCTAAGGAAATAGTAAGAAATAAGTTGTCTTATCAATGCAGAAAGGTTTGGGAAGAAAGTAGCTCTGTGAATGCAATGCTTTACATATAAGTTCGAAATTTATTTATCTATTCAAGTTAATGTAATTTTGGAACTTTTAATGTATCTGACATTATTTTAGACGAGATCAAGCGAAAGAGTACAATAATTAGGCGGCTCAAGGCCCTGAATACAAAATCTGAGATTGGGATCATTGTTTGAAGATATGATTTTGTCATTTCAGTTTCAAATTACTCAAAAGTATATAGTATATATATTTATATATAGATATATTTTTTTTTAAAAAAAAAAAGCATTCAAAGCAATGAAAAACAATTCACAAGAAAGACTGAGTGAGAAATTTAAACAATTACATGGATTTAATGGTTTACTTCACATGCAAGACAGTTATAACAGAATTTATGATATAATGTCAGGTGTTATTGATGCTGTGAAAAATTTTGGAATTCCTTATAGTGAAGATTTTAATGGTGAGAGACAAAATGGAGTTGAAACATTCTAGGTTTCTAAAATAATAAATTCATATATAGATTTTCTAAATTTACATGTCAAAATTAATAATATGCTAAATAAATTACATTATAGTTTACAAATCAAGAGAGAAGAAGATGTTCTTTGGCTGAAGGCTATTTAAAAGATGCGTTAAAAAAAGTCGAATTACATTCAGGTTCAGGACCTTATAAATTTGGGAAAATTGTTGTCATAGATATTAAATCATATGCTCATGTATTAGATATTATTTGGGATGATGAAAATAAAAAAGAGAATATTGCAATCAGTGTAAGATACTTTTGTAATGGTACAGTGCATGAGGCCTTTATTGCACCAAAAGGTGAAATTATTCTTTGTGGTGAAGCTATTAATAGCCCTCAGGTAAGAATAAAAAATTTAAATAATATTATTATAGTAATTGTATATTATAGTAAATCTTTTTTACTTACTTTTCTTAAAGATATTGATGCTTTCTTGTATTGGACCAAAAGAAAATCTTAAAGCAAATAATATAAAAGTATGTAAAGAACTGCCAGTTGGAAAAAATTTATCGGATCATCAATCTTGTTTATTTTCAGCAAAAGCAAATCCAAATATTATTCACCATTGGAGTAGTAGACCTGAAATTGGAATATTATATAAGGCTAATGTTGAAGGAAAGATTCATTGCAAAGAAGACTTTTTGATGAGATTCAGATATTCAGATTATTGATATGTTTTCATTAAAACAATGAATTTATATACTAAATTTGTTTATTATAGTATCATATAAACAGTGATGCCATTCCGATCTGGTTCATAAAAGAATTGTCAAATCATAAAATAAGTAGGATTATTATATTGCCAGTTCTTAATATTCTATCAAGTGTTGGTTATTTAGAACTTAATAGTAATAATCTATTCGATCAACCAAGAATATATTTAAACTATTTTGATAAGTCTGATGATTTATATAGAATGATCAGCTCACTTAAGTTATGCCATGAAATACTTAAGCAGCCATCATTAAGCACTATTTTTAATTTTAAGAAAGTTGGAATAAATGATGAATTTGGACAATAGAGCACTAACGGGGATGAAATTAGTAATGAAGACTGGGAAAAATTTGTTGTGAAAAGGGTATGTACTTTTATATTATGACATAGATGTCACTCATATAAAATATATAATACCATCATGGCCTTATTTTTATGTTTAGACAACTACAGCATTTCATCCATATGGAACAGTAAAAATGGCACCAGAATTTAAAAATGGTGTAGTTAATTATCGACTTCAAGTTTATAGTATGAAAAATCTTCGAGTTGTTGACGTATCGATATTTCCATATATTCCAAGTAGAAACACAAATGTACCAACAGCTATGGTTTCTTGGAGAGCGAGTCAGTTAATTATTGAAGATTACACGAAAAAAATTGAATGAACTATAAAAACTTTCTAAATGCCGAACTGCTTTTGTGTGATCAAATTCTACTAGTAAACTGTAGCTATTCGTAAGTAAAAAAAAAATTTTTTGAGAAATTTTACTATAACAATAAAATAGATCTATTTTTTTTTTTTTATTAACCCCTTATAAAGTTACTTTCTTTGTTTTTTTTATTAAATTGGGTTCTGCTAAGTGAAACCAGAGAATTTTAAAAATGGATTTCTTTAGACAACGGAAATACAGACATTACAGCTGTTTTCATAATTTCTAGACCATCCTAAAAAAATTTGCTGAAGCTATTCTGCCAAAGTCGATAAGTTATTGATTTTGGTATGATTATTGTAAGTGCGTGATTATCAGTATATAAAAGAATTTTTGTGTTACTGTTACATTGTTCGATCGATATACATTCACAATGTCAACTCCAACACCTTTATTAAGTTTTTGCCTTAATGCCTGTCCAACATGTATAACATGTTTAGTTTGTACAAAAATTTATGGCAAAGACTGTTCTTGCCAATCAATAGAACTTCATTGGAAGTGTAAAAAAAGTTCTGAACATAAGCTGGACTTTCTTTCTAAGCATATTACACAAAGAGGTGCTAACAAAAAAAGGGTTAAATACAATCAAGAATTTGTCAACTAGTTCGAAAAAAATGTAACACTAGTTGAAACAAGAGGTCAAGATTTTATTAATATTTGTCAACGATGTCTTAATATTTATGACAAAGTTCAAAGTAAAGTTTTTATATATTTATAATATAATTTTTATTTTAAAAAAAAATTATATTTAATATTTTAACTTTTTATTATAGTTCGAAAAGAAAACCAGTATAAATTAGATGAAAGCATTGAAACAATCGATTTAATAAGCAAAGAGTCATCATATTCTTCAAGCATGAAATTATTACATTCACCAAACATGAAATTTTTACATTCATCAAGCAAGGAACTATTGCATCCATCTGTAATAAATACTTTAAACTTATCTGACTTGTTTGAAAAAACAAATGATAACATTGTTAAACTGAAAATTTCTATAGTAAAAATGTCTATTGTTAGTAAGAATAATTTTATTATTTGTATCTAATTAATATATTTTTAACTTACTTATAATTATTTTAATTCTAGCATTTGTTACATTAGTATGTTATGACTAGTTTGAGAAACCTCATAAGAAATTGGATGGTGCATTGGCAATTCCATATGTCCTTGACAATATAAAAGACTTTGGGAATATTGAAGAGGAAAGTTTATCATATACTCTTCCCAAACAGTAGGGGAAAATTGAGCTTGGTCATATTTGTTATCAGCTCTCTAATACATCTAAAGCTAATCAGTATGATTTAAAAGCAGATGGAGCCATTATTGCATTTGTTACTAAAGCAAAATATAAAAAAAATATTTAATTATGTGTTTTTCAGGAGCATAAAGATGGCAGAGCTAATAAGAGAATTCATGTAAGTTAAAAATATGTTATATTTTAATTTATATTATTAATTAATAATTTATTTATTTACTTATTTATTTATTTATTATAAACTCTTGAAATTGAATCAAATGTTGTTAATAAATTAAATATAATTAAAGAAAAAATTTACAAAAATCTTATATTATGTTAAATACATATTCAAGAATGTTTAATTTCTGAAGATGGTTGACATTTAAAGTTAGACAATAGTATAATTACAATGTGAGCTCATGCGATTGTAAATATTAAATTATTTGTAATTATATTATAATATTTTGTATTTTTTATATTATAAATATATTATTAATTTTTTAAATAAAGCTTAATGAAATGCAAGGCATTGATAAAAAAAATCCACCATGTATTCTATTATTTGACAAAACTAGATATCAATATCCAATATCTAGACAAACTTCAAATAATGATTTATCAAGTAAAAATATATTTATATATTATATATTGAAAATTTTTAATTTATTAATTAATATTTAATTTTATTTTATATTTATAGTTGATTCTACAATTGATTTAATTGATTCTACTCTAATATCTGAAGTGGATTCTGCTTCTACATCTATAGTCGATTCTATTTCTACATCTATATTCAATTCTACTTCTACCTTTACTTCTACATCTATAGTTGATTCAATTTCTCTATCAACAACAACTATATCAAAACTTCATTCTGCAACAATTTATACTAAAAAAAAATCATTATTTAAATCTAATATTCATATTAATAATAATATGACATTTCAAGATTTACTTAATTTTATATTTTCTAATGGTTTACTAAAAGAAAAACGATTTCTTATTAAATCATCATTAGATATAAATAGTAAAACTTTTTTATCTGAGCAAATTATAAGTCAAAATATTTATAGAAGAACATATTAATATTTGGATCGAAATAGAAGATATAGAAATAAAATTTAATGATTTATTTGATTAATTAGCTTAGCATTAATATATAGTTAAATTAAAATTTATTATTATAATATAATTTTACTAAAACTCACCTATGGTGTTTTACACCTATGCATGCATTATCTCAAAAACTGACTAATTAATTAGTACAAGGTGTTCTAAGTAAAAATGGTCTATGCCCCTGAAAATCCTTCCCAAACCCTAATACTAACTTAAACACTATACTAACGTGAAAAAATTTAAGTCAAAAATTTCTATAACAAACCTTATAAAAACTTAGAAATTTTAAAAAACATAATAAAAACATATAATAGGTGCAAAACACCATAGGTATGTTTTATAATAATTGATTATAATAATATTTATTTAATAAATTATTAATGTATATAACCAGAATGTTGATAACATGCATATGCTAATTTTTTATCAGTTATTAATCATTATATAAGTAAGATTTAAAACATCTAAAGAATTAGACATTGATTCAGTCCAAATATTATTTTGTTGTAAATAATTTTTTATATAAAAAAAAGTTTGTTCAATCTATTAAATAATAAAAATTATAATTATATTAATACAATATTAAATAATTATAAATTATTATAAAATAAATTACTTACAGGATTGAAATCAGGCGAATATGCAAGTAAAACTTCTAATCTAATTTTCTTTACTCTACATAAATCTTCTAAATGTGTACTTTTATGTATAATTGCATTGTCTAAAACTAATACACTATATTGTCTAGGAAATGGATTCATTTTTGGTAATTTTATTAAAAATTTTATTAACATTACAGTATATGCAGTAATTTATAAACATAAATAAATAAATAAATAATATTAAAATTATTTACTAAAACATATTCAATAAAATCATCATAATCTTTAGTATTTATAAAACCTTCCTGAATACTATAGGCCAAAAGACCATCAATACATAAAGCACCTTCAATAGTAAATTGTTTTCCTTTAACAAAGAAAGTATATTTTTGGGCATGTAATCCTGAAAAACTTCAACCATAATGACATGACAAAGTTCATCGATCATATGCAGATTCATTTGAAAAAACCAATTGACTTGATGTATATTGAGACATTCGTATAATAAATTCATCTCTATTAACTTTATTTCGTTCTTTAGCAAGTTTTGAAATCTATATATTAAAATAATTATATTATAGTAATATTATATTTGTAAATTAAATTATATAATTAAAAAAAATCTTACTTGTTTATTTGTATATCCAAGTCGATGCACAGCTCTCCAAATTGTCGTAAGACTAACATTGTGTCCTAACCATAGTTCCATTTCTGATTGTAATTTATACAAATACCAATCAGGTTTTTCTTTCATTAAAGTTTTGAGATATTTGACATCATCTATATTAAATAAATGAGTTCTGCCCGAAAGTGATGGTAATTCTTCAACACAACCATACATTTGAAATTGCTTGAGAACTCAACCAACAGAAGTCCTGCTAACACCCAAATGTTTAGCAATTACTCTGGCCGACAAGCCTTCTAAGTTCTTTTCAACGATTTTCCAACGCACATGTTTTGAAAGTACCATTTTTTGACGAATTAAAAATCTTAGATGTTGATTCATACTGGTACACAAGCTTATGCATTTATTTATGTTGTGTAACACTGAGGTAAATAACTTATCGATTTCGGCAGAATAGACTTCGGCAAATTTTTTTAGGGTGGCCCAGAAATTATGAAAACAGCTGTAATGTGTGTTCGAAAAATAGTACGTATAATAATTATTCTAGTTACGGATCGATTAAAAACTTGCATTGCTGATTCGATAAGTTTGATTCGGTGAATAAAAGTTTATCACTGCCGAATCAAAACTTATCGAATCATCAAATATTCGTTTGGTCAATTTTTCTAGAATTTATGAAAACAGTTGTAATGCCGTCCAGGTTTTTAGTGTGAAAAAACCCGGCCGGTATATGCATAATTCGACAGGTAAAATCGCCACCCAAAAAAGTTTCGATCTTTACGTAACAAATATATCGAGCACTAAAATTCATGGAGCTTAACAAAAAAATACAAACAAAAAGATCTAAATGATAAGTAATAAATTACTCATTTTATTTATTTCGAATAACTCAATAAACATATTATTTATTATAGCCAGAAAGTATATTATAATTACGGTTTTTCTATGTATTTGGAATATTCCATTGCCTTTTAAAATGATTATAATCATCCAATTTATGCAATAGCATAAAGTTTTTATTAATACTACTGAACCATTTATTACTATTTAGTTTCTTCAATAATTTTTTGTTGCTGTGTCCTGGATTCAAACAATAATTAGAGTTATAATCGCATTGAAAATTAAATCTTGATTAATTTTTATAATTTATTTTGATTTCCATTTTTTTTTCGTTTATTGTCAATAGAAATTTGGTTACGATAATCAACATATATTTTTAAAATAGTGTGTTTATTGGATTTTATGCTTTTAACAATCACTTTTCACTTTCAAGAATCGAAGAAAAAAAATCACTTACTAAATCAATTATGTTGATATCATGAATTGACGATATTATGTGATTTTCGAAACTTTCTTGGGTATTTGTTTATCA